GGCATATTTGCTTCGTGTTTTTCTCTGCATACAATTTTCACATGGCTGAGGATTAGCGTGTATATATATTTATATACAAATACATAGACATACATATGGGTTCAGTTATGTGTAAACATTTGTTGAGTATTTTTTTTAGCTTTTATTAATTAAAAAAAAATTTTAATTCCAGTATCATGAACATACAGCATTATATTAGTTCCAGGTGTATAATATAGTGATTCAATAATTCTCTACATGACTCAGTGCGCATCATCATTGTACTTTTTAATCCCTTTCACCTCTTTCCTCCACCCCCCACCCACTACCCCTCTGGTAACCATCTGCTTGTTCTCTATAGTTAAGGGTTTGGTTTTTGGTTTCTCTATTTTTTTTCTCTTCCTTTCCATATGTTGAATATTTTTGTGCACAAAGTCCTGGTGTGGGAGTTAGCGTGGGTGTTGGGAGCCGGGTGCCAGTGTCAGACCATGCTGAGCTAGAACCCCTTACTAGCTGCGTGACGTGGGCAAGTGCCTTCTCTGAGTAACAATTTCTTTCTTGATCTGTAAAATGGGATTTCTGATGGGACCTATCCCAGGGCTGCTGTATGTAGATGGCAAGGCATATATAAAATACGCAGCACAGTGCCGGGGGCAGAGAGGGTTTTTCTTGGTAACATATCACCATGGAAAGTTTAGTCTGCCTTTCTGATTCACAGTGGAAACCTCTGGAAGTGGGATGGACTTCTGGGTCTAAGGATATGAAGACCCCAAGGTTGATACAGTTGGTCCAAATGGAGAGGCAAATTTCAACCAAGATCTCGTGCCTCCCGCACCACAGCTGTCCTCATTTGTCTCCGTATTCTTCCAGGCCCTGTGTACGCAGAAGGGTTTTTCAGCATTCTAATTGCAATGCTTGCACCAGTTTGCTTAGTGTTAGTTACATCATCAACATTTTCCTCAGCGGCTAAAGCTGTCATTGACAGCATTTGCCATGGTTTGCTTAACGATTTCCTTATTATTGAATATCTGGATTTACTTTTTCATTCATTCATTCATTCATTCACTCACTCACTCATTCATTCATTCATTCATTCAAGAAATAGTTCTGCCAGGCACTGAACTAGGCATTGGGATATAGTGGTCAACAAGAACAGTGAGCACCTTACACTTCAGGCACTTGGACTCTGGCCAGCAAGACAGACCACGTCAAATAAACAAACAAGCAAGATCCCCACGGTAAGCGTGCTGAGTGCTGTGAAGGAAAAGGAGAGAACTATGGGGGGGTGGGAGGGGATCTATTTCTTAACACATTTTTATATTTTCTGGAAGTTGTCCTAGTCTCTAATTCTAACCTGCTGTTTGCTCCTCAGCAGCTGTAACTGAAGCTTCTCTTTGAGGAGTCCCATTTGGGGTTGGACTGTCCACTAACACAGTTTCTGGAGGAGTCAGAGTTTACCAAGGTGGTCAAAGGCCTGACAATGAGCTCAAATGGGCCTCATTGTCTGTCCTCCCTTCCTCTAAGGCTTGTGTTTCAACCAGTGTGGTCTGCTCCCTGCCCCCCAAAGAGACATGATTATTCCCTTCTTAAGTCTACTTGTACAGTGCCTTTTCCTCACTGTCCTCTCAGTACGGGACCTCCACTAGCCCTGGGAGCCTTTGAGCCAATTGGGGAAGGTGTCCCCTTCTAGTGGACAAAGCCTCAATGGCTGGAGCTTGGTGGGCAGAGTACAAGTTGGATTCCAGCCCTTTTGAGGCCTCCTGGGCCACCTGCGTGACTGCACATGGCAGTCCTGCCCGCAGCCTCTGGAATGACCACCCTACCTACTTTCTTTTCTTTTTTTTTAATTTGTTAAAAACAGTTTATTTATTTTGAAAGAGGGAGAGAGTACATGCTCACGTGAGCGGGGGAGGAGCAGAGAGAGAGGGAGAGAGACAGAATCCAAGCAGGCTCCACGCAGTGCAGAACCTGACATGAGGCTCAAGCTCATGAACCATGAGATCACAACGTGAGCCAAAATTGAGTTGGATACCTAACTGACTAAGTGTGGGGCTCAAGCCCACAAACAGTGAGATCACAACCTGAGCTGAAATCAAGAGTTGGATGCTTAACTGACTGAGCCACCCAGGCACCCCACCCCACCTACTTTCTATCTATCTCATTCTTACACCATCTTGAAGACTCAAAGTTTATATTCCATCTCTTATAGGAAGTCTTGTCTAGCCTTCTAATTCACAGTAACTTCTCCATTCCTTGAACTCCTAAACAATTTTTTCACTCCTTGCCTTATTTGGCACTCAATTGTATACTGCCTTGTGATTCTTCTTGTTTTTCTCTCCTGTATTGTTCTTTCATCTGAAGAGATCTGATTTAGATAGAGAAATCACAGGTATCTCTGTAGATGTATCATTTACACTAAATCTTGAAGGAGAGATAGGCAGAGTTCTAGAGAGTGTTCTAGGCAGAAGGGAGGGCATGTGCAAAGTCCCTTAGGCAGAAGATCTTTGAGATTCAAAGCCAAATGCACATGAATATCTCTGCATGGAATGGCCTTTCCAGATTTGGCAAATGAAGTGGAAAACAACTATTAAATTATGCATTCCAGGGCGCCTGGGTGGCTCACTCAGTTAAGCATCTGCCTCTTGATTTTGGCTCAGGTTATGATCTCATGGAGCCTGCCTGGGATTCTCTCTCCCTCTCTCTCTCTTCCACACACCCCCATCTCAAAAGTAAATAAAATAAAAAAATATTCATTCACACTACTTTCTGAGGACCTCTTTGTTCTAGCCCCTGCAAATGGCATACAGAGATGAATCAGACCAGACATGTTCCTTCCCAGACTAACGGAGGAGGCTAAGATTTCTCTACAGTGTGACAGACAGACCAGGGTAGAGGGTTATCATGTATGTCAGTAGAAGAGTGGAGAGGGTAACTATTTCTTGCTTGTGGGCACTGAAGAAAGCTTATCCAAGATGGAGACATCTGAGTGGGGTCTGATGAAGGGTGACCCATGAGGAGGCTGGTGCAATGGTCAAGGCTAAAGGCCTGAATTGGGACAATGACAATAAGGATAGATAAAAGAGGAAAGATGAGAGAGACATTTCAGTGTAAAACGTATAAGACTTGGAAATGGAATGGTTTTAGGAGGCTGGGGAGAGGAATAAGTTAAGTCTCTCCAACTTTCATGCATGAATGACTGAATAAAGGCAGTACCCCTGGATTTGGTAGAGGGAGTAGGTTGGTGGAGAGAGATTGGGGAGTGGTGAGGCATTCTCCTTGGCACCACGGACAGCTCCAAGGATCTCCAGAAGACTTGAGTAGGCCAGATCAATGGTGCTTGCCCCTGGCTGCCTTAGAATCAGCAGAGGAGCTAACTTAACATACATACTCCCAGTCCCACCCAAATGTTCTGCATCAAAGTCTCTGGGGTTGGGGTTCAGGAGCCTGCATTCTAAATAAGCACCCCAGATAACTCAGGCACAGGCAGTCACATAACTACAACACTGAAATAAAGCTATGATGGCCTCCAGAGAAAGAGATGAGAGCGCCCTCTGCTGCTAAAATGACGTTTTGATCTCTTGAATTTATTGCTGGTGTATTTCAAGGCAGTTTATTTACGTGGGGAATCTCTGGGCCAAAACAACCAACCAACCAACTAACCAACCAACCAACCAAGAGACTGGGCAGATGAATAAGGAAGAGCGGCCACCTGTGAGTAGTTATGATACGGTCTTTAGTCTGGGATTCTGGGATGCTGTTAAACCTTCCCAACTGCATTCCCTAAAAAACAAAACAAACAAAAAACAATAAATGTGACTCCCTAAGGTGAGAAGGGAGAATCCTCTCCTTGCATTGGCTTTAAAGATATGTTGCAACCCAAAAGAAATGAAAGCAGGGACTTGAAAAGGGATTTGTGCACCCGTGCTCATAGCAGCATTATTCTCAATAGCCGACAGGTGGAAGCAATCCAAATGTCCATTGACAGATGAATGGGTAAAGACAATGTGGTAGATACAGGCAGCAAAAACATTATTCCGTCCTAAAAAGAAATGACATTCTGAGATATGCGACAACACGGGTGAACCGTGAAGGCATTACGCTGAGTGAAATAAGCAAGACACACAGGGACAAATATTGTATGATTCCACTCATATGTAATGAGGTCCCTAGAGCAGTCAAATTCATAGAGAAAAAAGCAGAATGCTGGTTGCCAGGAGCTGGGGGGAGGGAGAACGGGGAGTTATGGTTTAAATGAGTACAGAGTTTCAGTCTGAGATGAAAAAGTTCCAGGAATGGTTGTTGGTGATAGTTCTCACGCAGCAATGTGAACGCACTTAATGCCATTGAACTGCACACCTAAAAAGGTAAAAACGGTAAATTTTATGTTATGTTTATTTTACCACAATAAAAAGAAAAGTGACATAATAAGAAAAGCAGTGTTATTGCCCTCCAGTTGACTGGGAATGAGTAGGGCTTCTCCATCCCATAGGGCGCTCTCTGAGAACAGGGAAAGGTGTCTCCCTTCTCAGTCTGGGGCTCTCCCAGGGCCAGCCAGGTGTTTCTTTAAGCGGACAGCTAATCCCCCAGGGCCTGGACTCGTCCCGTCCATCATCAGATAGAGATGATTCCCGACAGTGCAGTTCCCTCCAGCAGGTGAGGTTCTGCCTGCCCCTTCCGACTGGGAGTTATCCCAGCGACTGTGTACGGGGTAGGGGGGAGGGTCAAGTGGGCCCTTAGTTTGAGATTCTCGTCTCTCTTCCGCAGCTCCCAGGCTCAGGAGTCCCACAAGTGCCCAACACCTTAGCACACCCCTTCTCACCTTCTGCTTCTCCAAGTTGTGTGCTCCGTCAGAAAGCCAGCGCCCTCCCTCCGGCCGGGCTCAGGCGGCTTTCCGCCCTCTTCCAAGATGGCCGCCGCGGTTTCTGTGACAGGCCCGATCACGTGGGCGCCGCCGCCTATGAGGTCGCGGGAGCTCGAGCGGCGATTGTCCCTTCCCGGGCCCCGTCCCGAGGCGGCGACTGCCCTTGTCAACCTAAGCCTGAGCGATCATGGCAACGGGCTCGGGCGGGGAGCGCGTGGCAGCGGCGGCAGCGGCGGCAGTTTGGTCGCGGGCCGGGGCGGCGGAGCGGCGGCGGCGGCGGCGGTGGCACTGGCGCTGGCACCGGCCCTGAGCGCCATGCAGCGGGGCAGCTCCGAGAGGGAGCTGGCGGCCCGGTGGGAGGCGGAGGCGGTGGCCGTGACCAAAGCGCAGGCGGCGGCGAAGCAGGTCCGCGTGGACTCGGGCGCGGCCGGGGAGCCGGAAGGCAAGACGCCAGAGGAGCAGCCCAAGGACCCGGCCCCAGCGCAGCCCCGCGCGGCCGAGGAGGGGGACGCCCGCGTTGTCCCGCGGCCGCCGCCCACGCTGCCCCCGGCCAAGCCGCAGGCGGCGCGGGCGCCGGGCCTCTGCCCGCACGGGAAGCCCCGGAGCAAGGGCCGGGGCGGCCGACGGAGCTCAGGCCGCGCGGCGGACGAGTACCACTCCCAGCGGCCCGTCACTGTGGACAGCTCCAAGGCCAGGACCTCCCTGGACGCCTTGAAGATCAGCATCCGCCAGCTCAAGTGGAAGGAGGTGAGGCCTGGCCCGGCCGCGTGGGCACGGCGGGAGGGTGGACAGTTCGACCTCGGAGGACCCGGCGCGGCCCAGGCCAGGGCTGAGGGCTGAGCTCCTGCCGAGCGCCAGGCTCCAAGTGCTCATCCTTCAAAGCCTCGCCCCAAAGTCGCTTCCTCCAGAAGGCTTTCAGCCCGCTCCAGGTCAAGTTAGCCACAGCTTCTTCCCCTGGCTCCCCTACAGCTCTGGTTTCTACCTATCAGCACTCCCCTGCATTGTAGATCTTAGCCTATTTATGTGTCTGTCTCCTCCACCAGCTTTGAGTCCTCGGGGCCCGGGACTCTTTCTTTCACTTCTTCATTTAAGTTCTGTTTGCTCAGCACTTAACTGTATAGCAGTGAACAGTTTGTACTTTGGAGGCAGACAGACTTAGGTTCTCACCACACCCTGCCACTTAGCTGTGTGACTTTGAGCAAGTCGCTTCACCTCTTAAGCCTATTTCCTTCTCTGTAAAGCGAAGCTAGTAAGTGTCTCATAGTTTTGTTAGTATTAGAAGACTCATTGCTTATTGTAGCATAGCACAAGTGTGCAATAAATGGTAACTAATCTTAGCACCGTCTCCTCTCTCTTCCTCCATCACCGTCACCATCACCACCACCACCATTATCATCAGTGCAGGAACCGTATTTTACATTCTAGGCCTTGGCATGTGGCTATAGCATGTGTCAATGAGCGGTGGCTGAAAGGGTGGATGAAGGAATGGGTTATTCCTCCCTGAGCCCATTTTAGACCTAGTGGGGGCTGGAATGAAGCACCAAAGACACCCAGGAGTGTCTGTCGCAGTTGGCTGAGTGGATAAAGCCATTTGACTTTATTTTCAGCTTCTAAGGCTTTTTAAACAGGGTTTCGGGAATATTGGGATTGTGATTAGGGCAGTCAAGTCTAGAGACTTAGATCCAGATGGTCTGCTGGTGTAACAGGAATCCGCAGCAGGTGACGTGAAAGACTCAGGTGCTTAGCTCTGTGCTTTGGCTATGGCAGACATTCAGGAATGGTTTTATGAAGCTGGAACATATGGAGAGATGGCCGCAGAAAGGATTGATGAGGTCAGAGGGTTGATGTCCCAACAGGAAGGAGACGTGTGGTTTGGAGGGAAGACAAGAATCAGGCAGGGCAGACGTCCAGGTAGGGAGGGGTTAGCCATTGGGGAAGTCTGACTCCAGGTGTCAGGGTCCCCAGGCTTGGGGCTTGGGATTCAGAGGAGGACTTCCATGCCTAGGAAACCTGGAGGGAGGCTCCCAGCTCTGGACAGGGTCCCAGGTCTGGGCCAGAACAAGATAAAATCGGAGAACTTGTCAGTGCCATGGTCCTAATAAAGAGAGAATCCAGGGACTGAAACCAGGCCACAGAGTCAGGCAAGGCTGAGAATCAGGCAAGGAGAGCTGTGCTCGGCTTAGCGCTGTGGGAGGGAGAGACATGAAGCTGGCTAGATCTTGCGAGATGGAACCAGATGGACTCAGAAACCAGCAGGCATGCATGCCAGGTTCAGGTACTCGGTCCACGGGTGTTTGCTGTGGGTGCTGACTCTGGAAATCAAAGATGCTTAAGATGTAACCCTTGCCCTCAAGGACCTTACCGTTCAGTAGGGAAAAAACACAAAGAAATCATTGCAGTGATGAGAAGGTCTTTGCTGCTGCTTCCTGAAATGCTCTTTCCCCAGGTACTTGCATGTCTTATTGTCACTTTCCATCTCTGAGCAAATGCTTCCTCCTCAGAGAAGCCTTCCCCCACGATCTGTCCCTCCACCAACCGTTCCTCTTCTTTCTTTTATCAAATAGCACAAAACTCTACCTGACACTCTGTTACCTTTTCCCTCATTAGAGTGTAAGCCCCATGAGGGCAGGGGCTTTGTTTTATTCATTGCCATATCCTCAGGTGCTTGGCACACAGAAGGTGTTCAATAAATACTTGTTGAATGGATGGATACGCTGTGTGATGAGTGTTTCCCTGTCCCTATGTAAAGGTGTACGTGCTGTGGGAGAAGAAGAGGGCCATCTCACGAAGGGCTTCCTGGAGGAGAGAGATGTGAGCTGAGTTCTGAGTGCTGAAAGGGAGTAGGAGTTATTCAGGGCCATTGAGTTCGAATCTCTGGTAGAGGGCATAGTATGGGCACAGCAGAGGCACATTTGGGGCTTTGCATGTAGCTCAGTATGGCTGGAGGTGAGTGGGCGGCAGGATGGTGGTGAGGTGAGGCTGGAGAAAGGAGCGGGGGACAGACCACAGGCCATGCTGTGGGATGTGGACTTGTTTTTTGGAAGGCTGTGTGAGCCACTACAAGATTTTAAGGTTCTTCCATTTATCGACTATGCTGGTTTGACCAGTGCGTTAAACTCTTGAAGCCTCTTAGTTTGCCTGTCTTTCAATGGGGGTGAGTTGGGCTAGTTCAGTGGTTCCCAGGCTCTCTGGTGACATCACGTCATGTTAGTCTACATGAGACCCTGGTGCTGGTAAACCCAGTGGAGTGGGCAGTTGCCAGGCATTACCTGTAACTCCCCCCACCGCCCCAACCTCGCCTTCTTCCTCTCGCCCAGAAAGTATATTGGCATATAAGTGGAGATACCCCTTCTGGTATATTTTAAAACAAACTCAGTCACAACAGGACTTTCCTATTAGATGTGTGATTATTAATGTCACTCTTCCCTATGAGTTTGTGAGGTGCTGAGGACAGGAGTGGTGTTTGACTTGTGGTACATCATAGGTATTCCATAAATATTTACCAGATGAATGAATGAAATACTTGCCACAGAGCTCACGTTTCATCTTGACACTCTAGAATGTGGAGTTTGAAAAAAGTACTGGAGTAGGTAAACTTTAAGTCCCTTCCAGCCTTAATTATGATTTTAGTATTGTTAGTACCTACCATAAAGTTGACTGCATGAAAAGCAGTCACTAACAAAGCGTAGACAGACACAACCTCTCCAGGCCTCAGTTTCCCCATATGTTTCAGGAGTGATGTTGGACAAGATCATCTGTAATGCTCAGCATTGGTGTCTGAGGACCAGGGCTGGGACACAAGGCTTGGTGTCCTTTGTATTTCGTGCAGTGCTGTTGCCGCAGGATTTGAGAGTACCCGACTGGCTGGGGTGGACGGGGAGCCCAGGTAAGAAGTGAGGTCATGAACACCAGCCAGGGTGAAAGCTCAGTGTTTCCTTTGAAAGTGCACAGTGAGGGGCGGCACCGGACAGTCCATTTAGCAGGGCAGCACTGAGCCAGCATGTGAATTCAACGTTTGCTTGGCTACAGGACACAGTCTCCCTTCCCCCTTCATTTTTTTTTTTTTTTTTTAATCACACACACATTTAACAACCAGGATAGCGAACGTCAACAGCTATAATGAAGCCTTACATAACTCTTAACCCTGTGCCAAGCACTCTTCCAAGTGCTTTATGTATCTACAGCGATTTGATTTTCCCAACAACCCAATTAAGTGCCTCATTGTCTCCATCTTACAGAAGAGGAAATTGAAGTACACAGAGGTGAACTTATCCAAGGTCATATGGCTAGTAAGTGGCATTTGCTAGTGGCTAGTAAGCTAGCATTTGAAACAGAGATGCCGTTTGAAACCAGCCTTCATTCTGGACTCTTCTCACTGTTTCCTACTGGGTCTCTATCTGCAGTCCCTGGGTTGGAGTTACACGTACGGATGTGAGTGGGATTCCCTCCTTGTCCTCCAGCAGCTTCTGGCTTGAGAGAAAGACATGCACACAATGGCGGGTCCAGTCTGGGAGTTGAATGGGTAATGGCCATTCCATACAGAATAGGCACAAGGCAGGGAGGATGGATCAGATTTTGTGTGCAGGGTGGGATTCTGTGTGCACGATGCTTAGGGAGCACGTGGGAAAGCGGGAGAGATGAAGAAGCCAGATCATGGAGGACGTCGGAGGCCAGGCCAGGAAGCTTGAGCTCCTGCCTGAATGTGATCACAGAATCTTGCCACATATAAGCTCAGCTCCTCTTGCCCACTCTCTCAGCCCCAGGTGAACCACGCCAACTCTCTGGTGATTCTGTTTTCAGTTGTATCTACTCTGGTCGGGTCTAATCCAACCATGTCCACAATGTTGAATTTGCCTCTCAAAGGAAAGTTCACAAATGTTGGCCCTGTTAACTTACAGATAAGGCGAAAGTTTATCTTAGAATAGCAAAACCAGGTTTATGGAGTCGCTATTGAAGTTGCCCACATGAAAGAGAGGGATTTTTCCTGGCTCACAGTAGTGCTCAATAAATATTTATGGAATTGTATGGTCCTCTTTCAATTGTGTGAGCCTCTCTCCCCATCCTCCTGTGTATTCTTTTGTAGTTTTGACACCATCATTAAAGAAACCCTAGGGAAAAGACACCAAGGAGAATAGCTGCCCTCCCCGGAGCTGCAGGTTGTGTATACGTGCACAGTGGTGCCATGGACACCAGCTAGCTGACGTGCGCGAGGGCGCTCAGAGATTTGATGGAAGGACCTTTGTTGATAACACCTTGCATAAGCCCCTGTCCCAAGATCTATTACAGTGTGAGTTCTTTGTTTCAGAGACTCCAAGTCATGTGTTATTTTCTGAAATTTATCCAGCCTTTCTGCAGCATGTGTATACTTATTATGTTGTCCTGTTTATAAGGTATAATATCAGTTACTGTTTATTAAATATCTGTTATATGCTAGGCATCATACTATGCACTTTATGTTCATTAAAAATTAGACATTTACTATGGATTATTTTATTTAGTCTTCACAGCAACCCTCCGAAGTAGATCCTATTATCATTCCCAAATTACAGATGAGGAAACTGAGGCTCGGGGAGAGTTTCATATAGGGCTAGCCCAAGGCCACACGGGTAACAAGTGGCAAAGCCATCCAGGGCCTGTGCTCATAGCCAGTGTGCAATCCTATACTGTCTTCTTTGCTAATCATTTGCTAAAATACACCCCACTAGTAGTTATTCTATTATTGGTAGTCCCAGATACTGAGTGAAGAA